CATTAGACTTTGAAGGTGCATCTTGGTTTAGCAGGTGTATAGGATATTAGGGATTTGAGCCTTAAAGGAAGGGGAGGGTTTAGGTGTGTGGGAGAAGGTCATACAATAAGATGAATATAAAGAAATTCAGGAGGAAACATAAAGTGGACTCCTTGAATGTTAGAACCAGAAGGGACCTTTGAAGCCACTAGAGACTGTATGCGGTGGTTTGGCCAAGTGATCAGTCTTTGGAGTCTGATAAACCCAGGTTTGATCTTCACCAAGATTTTTAACATCTCTGGATCTTAATTTTAATTTCCTCATCTATAAAATGGGAGCAGTGATGGGTTTTCCTCATAGGACCGTTGGGGGGACCAAATCCAATAATGCATGTGACAGGCTTGTCTATGTCCTGGCATGTAGCCGTACAGAAACTGAATGATAGTTACTTATTATCCTATTTCCTTGATTCTAGGGCCAACTTCTCTTTCTTTTGCCACATTTTACAATTTTGGAATTAGAACAGGCTTTTACCTTCATTTCCTGTAGTGCTTGTTTTTCTTCCCAGGTTGTTTAGAATGTGGGAAACAGAATATTTTATAGACCAGGAATTGGGGCCAACATGCTGTATTGCAGAATCCACCCTCCAAGTTGATTTGGTCATCCTAGGAATCCTCTCTCTTGTTGATCCTAGAGAGAAGAAGGAAGGGGAAAAAAAACCCATCTTAACTTGGGATGGGGATATATACCGTGACATGCTGTAGCAAGCTGGTACCTCCCAGGAAAGAGAGAATCATGTAGAACTATAGATGTCCCCCGCCCAGTGAATGACACCCACCGGGTAGGATGCGGTAGGATCTGGAAACATTTAGTGTCTGCTCCTGGCTGTGCCAATTGTGCCCAAGTCAGGGAACCTCTGCCCCCTCCTCTCAGTGGGGCCCACGACCCCAAGCTGCCTGAGTCACGGGCTGTCTGACCTGTGCTGAGATTCAGGTGAGTGAACACCTGAGCAGATGCTGCCACCACGGGAGCACCCAGCGACTGGGAGCTGCCAGTTATTGTCCCCCAAGGCACGCCTCTCCCCTCCTGCCAGCTTGCCTCAGTTTTGCTTGGGATCGCTTTCTCATTCATCCCCTCCGCTCTAGAAATCCTGTGCACTCTTCAGAGTCCATCTTAAATGTCATCTCCTAGTCCAAACCTTTTGTCACCCTTCCCCCCCGTCACACCCTCATTCTCTGTGAGTATTGCTCAACTTTGGATCTCTGTTGTCTCTTAAGGAGATTTTCCAAATTCTGCCTTATATGACTACTTTTCCTACGCGGTGTGATGTAGCCTGGAAGACTGCTAACCTTCGAGGGCAAGAGTGTGTCTTAGTTTTGCAAACCCTGTATGTAGTTCTGGCACAGAACAGCATCGCAAAGAGTATGAAATGACATTTAAGCACACACTTGCGGAATATCTACTGTGTGTCAAACAATATAGTAACCAGCGGAACAGATGTACTCTGTGCCGTCATGGAGCCTGCTTCCCTTGGCTCTCACTCATGCCCTGAAATGATGCTGGCCAAGCAGAGAGGTGCCCCTGTGCTCAGGTTAGTTCAGCTTTCATGACCTCGCTGATTGGTGTGTGAGACCACGGACAGTGGCCTTCTGATGGCGCTGTGTGAGAGCTGGGCTTGGGGAGTTCGGTCTGGCCCTAGCGTTGGCGTCCAGGCACGCATGGGAGAGAGGTGCCCCGGAGTGTGTGTATGTGCAGGAGGAAGGGATAAGGACGGGAGATTGGAGAGGCGGTTGGGGAAGCACGTGGGTCAGACCTCGCAGCAGGTGGAAGAGGCTGTAGCCCCAGACCCAGGGCCCCACTTACTAGCTCTGAGCCCAGATTTCGCTGCCTCTTCTGTTCAGGCTCAAAACTGCCCTGCATGGGGCAGGAGGGGAGCCTTGGTTTGCTTGAGCTGGGGCTGTCCCGCAGAGCCTGGGGTCAGTGCTAATTGGGCCCTGGGGCACCTGTAAACCCGTAGTGATGACCGCTTGGGCCTCAGACCTCATGCCAGAGCTGGCTACGTTTTCCGCTTTCCCTCGGAGAAGGTGGAGGACGCTGGAAAAACCAGTTAGGGTGTGTGAGGCTCCATTTTATGTTGCTGTTAAGGGAGTGTTGGCTCCAGAGCCCGGAAACGTATATTAAAAATCTGGCTCTTTCAGAAAGCTAGAAGCATTGGGTAGGTCAGCAAGTGGCATCTCCCGGACTGGTAAGTGGGCAGGACAAGAGTTTGGGGCTTGCGCCTCCCCCCTCTGATGTGAAGGGCACATCGTCCTGAGTGGTAACTGGGGCTTAGTGCATCACTGTGTCCCTTGGTCCCGTCCCAGAGGCTGGTAAAATATCAAGTGGGCATTTCTGTGCTTGGCCGGCCTCGTTTCCAGGCCTGGTGGGAGCCGTGGGAAGGAGCTCCGTGGCACACAGCCCTGTGTCCGTCCTGCTCACTTCCGAGTCCCTGCGATTCACATGGTGTCGGGCAGTACTTGTTGTAGGCGAATATTTGGAAGCAATGATTTAATCTCATGTCCTTCGCCCATTCTGTTGTTCGTTGCAGGGAGGATGAACAACTTTGTGGCTGCTTTAACAAATTACTACAAACATGTTGGCTTAAAACAAAACAACAGAAGTTTATTCTCCCAGAGTTCTGGTGGCTGGAGGTGGGGAATCTGATGGGGTCGTGCTCCTTCCGGGGGCCTTAGGGGACAAGCCAGTCTTTGCACCTTCCGGCTGCCGGGGGCTCCAGGTGTTCCTAGGTCTCCAGTCTCTGCTGCCTCTGCGGTCATATTGTCTCCTCTCTGTCTCCCCCGTGTGTCTCTTATAAGGACACTTGTAATTAGATTTAGGGACCTCTGGATAATCTAGGCGTATCTCTTCATCTCAGTATCCTTAATTTAATTGCATCTGCAAAGACTCTTTTTCCAAATACAAGACAACATTCACAGGTTGTGGAGATGAGGGTATGGACAGGCCTTTGCTGGGAGGTGGCAGCATTCAACCCACCCCCAGGGCTCTTAGGGTTTTTCAAATCATGGCCGTTTTAGCTATTTTAAAGCTGCTAGCCGCTGGGTTTGTGCTGTTTGCAGTCAAGTTTCGTGTGTGTGTGTGTGT